AGACAAGAGTGAAGCCTTCTTCATTCTTGTCAGCTCCTTTCTTGTTTCCAGTCTAGTTTCAAGAGTCTTCATATTTTTTAGTCTTTGGCAATAGCCATTCCAGTTTTTCTTTCAATATACATACTTGTTTATTTATATTTTGTTACCTTTCTTTGAGTGAAGTCTCACTTGTGTGAATTACTTTTTCATCGAGTTCTTATCTTTGACAGATTGATAAGAGTATACTTATAATATCAAAGCTTTGTCTTTTCTTAATTAAGAGTGGATTACTCATTTTTCTTGATAAGACATAAGAGTATTAAGAGTTGCGGATTACCCTCTTTTAAATTGATATTATTTTTAGTATTTTTTTTGTTCTCAAGTCCGTTCTCTTACTTATCTTGAGCAATATTAGACATTTTTTTTTCTAGGTATTACCATGGCAAAGCTTGTTAAATTAAAGAGTGCAATGATACAAATATAAGAACAATTAAGGCAATTAATACTTATGATGCATCAACTTAATTCACCAAAAGGAGGAACAAGAATAAGAGAAAGTGGAGATATAAAGAAATTTACATCGAATCATGCCCCTTCTTCCATGGTGAAACACCATTCAAATGCTAGAGAACCAAGAATTACCTTATTCGAGAAATTTGATGGTACGAGATCAAAGTTTCGAGGATTCATCAATCAAATAGAATTGACAATCGAACTTCAACTCCAAAGCTATCCAACTCCAAGATCACAAGTCAGGTTTATTGGAACACTACTTTTCGGTTTTGCATTATCATGGTTTTTATCTTTTCTTAAATGACAAGATCTAATATTGGATAATTTAAAAGCTTTCTTGGTAGAATTTCAATCTATGTATGGAGAACATGATACAGTTCATATTGCAACAAATAAGATCCGTATCTTGCAATAAGAAAATTGATCTGTAACAACATATGCTTCACAATTTTAATAACTTGTGATTGATATCAAGTAGGATGATGCTCCACTCATTAGCCAATTCCTTTATGGACTACAATATGAGGTAAAAATATTGATGCTTAATTTACCCAATTCTCAAACATTGAATCAAGCAATTGATTTTGCTGTAAAATGTGACAATCAACTTTTTGAATTTTAATCTGAGAGTCACATAAGTAGGCCTCAACATTATTACAATTCAATGGCAACACCTACGTCTTCTCAACACATATCTTTAGAAGTAAAAGATATGAAAATTGATCCAATACATTTCAAACCTCTTACTGAACAAGAAAAGACTCGTCGTCGTCAAGAAAGATTATGTTTATATTGTGGAAAACTAAAACACACTGCTCAATATTGTCCAAAGAAATGACGCAACTATAAAATAAGGACTATAGCTGTCAAAGAAGACAATATGTCAGAAAATGAATTTGTCTAGCTATAATAGAGATCGTGCAGCTAGAACCTTGTACAACATCTAGTAAAGGTCCTATTCTCTCCTCAGAATCCTTTCTTTGTTTTACATTAAATGTTATTTTAAGACCTAAATATTACAAAGCCTCTACCTTGTTAGATTCAGGAGTCTCAGCGTGTTTCTTAGATGAAAAATTTACTAAAAGACATAGCATATCTTTAATAAAAAAAACTAAACTTGTTCATATAGAAGTCATAGATGGTTATCCATTGTCTTTTGGAGATATTACTCAAGAAATCCTTCCTATAGAAGTAATAATCAATGGTCATAATAGCTTTGTAGTATTTAATATCATTAGATCTCCGTCTAATCCAATCATTTTAGATTTATCGTGGTTAAAAAAATACAACCCTCAAATAGATTGAATTTCCCGAACTCTTATTTTCTCTAAAAGTATAACTATCAGTGTAGTTAATCAAGTAGAGAGTTATAAGTCCACTTCAATTAAATCCGTATTTATAGATGTAAAAGCTTTCTTGCATGCTGCAATGAAAGAATCACCATATATTATTTATGCCACATTTGTTTCTAATGGTGCAAAGACTTCACGTGGCATTCCAAGCCAATATCAAGAATTTCAAGATGTATTTGAAAAAAAGAATGCGGATACTTTCCCGGAACATCGTCCCTATAATTGCTCAATTGACCTTCAAGAAGGAGCACAACCACTATTCAAATCAATCTACAGTTTATCACAAAATGAGTTGACTAAACTCAAGGAATATATTGAAGAAAAATTAGCCAAGAATTTCATACGCCATTCTAAATCTCCGGCAAGAGCTCCAATTCTATTTGTGAAGAAAAAAGATGGAGCATTGTGGATGTGTGTTGATTATCGAGGATTCAATAAGATTACCATCAAGAATAGGGTATCCACTACCTTTAATATTTGGACTTCTTGATCAGTTGAATCAAGCTAAGATCTTTACAAAAATAGATCTCCTGAGAGCATACAATCTAGTATGTATCAAAGAAGGAGATGAATGGAAGACTATGTTTCGAACTAGGTATGGACATTTTGAATACAACGTCATGCCTTTTGGACTTACAAATGCACCATCAGTTTTTCAACATCTAATGAATGATGTTTTTCAAGAATTTTTAGATGATTTTGTCATTTGTTATCTAAACAACATCTTAATCTATTCTAAGAATTCAGAAGAACATGAACTTCATGTTTGTCATGTGTTACAAAATTTAAGAGATGTGGGACTCTATGCCAAGATAGAAAAGTGTGTATTCCACACTACTCAAGTTGATTTCTTAGATTATATCATTTCAAATGATGGACTTATGATGGATCCTAAGAAAGTTCAAACTATTATAAATTGGAAGATCCCAAAAATGGTAAGAGATATCCAATGCTTTTTGGGATTGACCAACTACTATCGAAGCTTCATGAAAGACTTCTCTTGAGTTGTAGCTCCACTTACACGTTTGAACTGTAAAGACAAACTCCAATGGAATCAAGAAGCGAAAGTTGCTTTTGAATATTTGAAGACAGTGTTTGTTTTTGCACCAATCTTGTATCGTGTTGATTTTTCCAAAGCGTTCTTTATGGAAATAGATGCATCAAACTTTGCTCTGGGTGCGGTTTTGTCACAAATAGGAACAGATGAGAAACTTCATTCAATAGCCTTTCATTCAAAAAAATTCTCAGTAGCAAAAATCAATTATGAAATCCACGACAAAGAACTTCTTGCAATTGTGGATTCTTTTTAAGAATGGCTTCATTATTTAGAAGGTGCTTCCAGTCCAATCACCAAAATAGGTTGAAAAACATGGATGTGATTAAATGGCAGACTGAGTATATATATGGTGTGGAAATGGGGAGGCACCACTATGCTACCTAATTGCAAGGTTTTCTAATGAGGAAGAGGAAGATTTCGTTGTCATTACAGTACAAGTCCTCTGCATTTCTATCATAAAGATGCTCTCTCTGTCTCTCTCTCTCTCTCTCTCTCTCTCTCTCTCTTTGTAGCACCCAATTTTGTAGACCTTCATTTCTACTGCCTCACCTTGGTCCACTCTAATTTGTACAAGCAAGTAATTGTATCAAGTAAAGCAGACATGCACGCAAGTATGTATGAAGGACTTAAACACAGATAGCAAAACATAACATGTCACTAGAGTCAGTAGACTAGTAGAATTACAAAAAGAGGCATTATTTTCAAGAACAATGGTGAAGTTGAATACAAAAGCAAGATAGCAAGTGTAAAAGGAGGATCCGATAGGATCAAGATACTAAAGCTAGGAAATTACAACATTCTTGGTAAAACAATCAATATATGTCTCTATCGATTTTATGGACAGATCTCACATGCTAACAAATCCAAAACCTAGATTCCTAATTAAGATCTTAAAATCCTAAATTCCAAAAAATAAGACATATAATTTTGAAAAACAAAAGCATTTGTATAGGTCTTTGTGATAATATATACCTTAACAAAATTTCAAAACTAACAAAAAATTGATAAATTGTAAAATATTTAGGATCAAAAACCTATACAATGTCCTTGTAACCCAAAATCCTAAAATCCCAAAATCCTAAAATTAAATCTTAAAACCCTAAATTCTAAACCTTTAACATCAGAAATCTATAAGGTCCAAATCAACACCTCTACATACAAATACACAAGTTTAGATCTTATAAACTATTAAAGTAAATAAAAATAAAAGAGTATAAGTTATCATATAGAGGATATTATCTTATGTAAGTTATTAGTGGTCAAAGGGATGGCTCTTGGAATATAGAAGGGCCAAATATTGGACATGCTAAGAAGTCAATAGTCAAGATACAAAGTCAAGAAGATAAAGGATCTACTACAAAATATTTAAAGTATTAATAAGAATATGTAATATATACCAAAGAATATTTTTATGATAGGTGTGATGCCAAAAGATATACTAGATATATCCTATAATGAATGTAAAAATAAAGGGATGGGTGTTTTCCATTAGAGCATGAACTACTACCTACAAGTAAAGAGTACTTGGTATGAGTTACTAAATTAACTCCCTTAGATATTTAGTATAAAAAATGTACTTATTATGAGTTGGTAGTAGAATTTTTAGAAAAAAATAGAAAATAGATTACTCATAGCAGATATGCAGTTTAGGATAGAATTTATTAAGACAAAATTCCATGATGGATAGGTTTTTGTAGTTAATATTAGATGATGGCAAATGAAAGTAGCCCTCATTGTTAAAATGAAAAAAAGAATTTTATTTTGTTTTATTAATAGTTCAATATTAATAGTTCAATATTAATATTGAAAATATATATATGTTATTAAAAATAATATATGTTATTAAAAATTATATATATATATATATATATATATAATAAAATAAAATAAAAAGATCAAAAGAGTTGAAAAGAAAAGAAAAGAAAAAGGAATAAAAAGGAAAGAAAGGAAAAAGAAAAAATATTTTTTTTTTGGGTGATGAAGAATGGCGAGAGGCTGCCACATGGCGGCAGCTGGCTCGCTGATAGGGATTCGGGCCGCCGCGGTTCCCTGTGTCTTTTTTTCAATTTTTTTCGTGGAGAGTGGAGAGTTCAAATAGCCCTGGAAATTCTTCCGGAGCGTGATTTTTTTTGTACGTGTACGCAATTGCAGCTTGGATCGAGAGGTTGTGACACACAAGATTCACGCCTTTCATAACAAGGGGTGCAGCTGTGCTTCGTGGAGGACGTCCTCGTCGGTTCTGATCAGCGACGGTGTTGGTTCAGCTACAGTTCCTCGGTGACTGTGGTCTAACGGTGCTGGTCATTCTACATTGTTGTGGTCTTGTTTTTTGGTTGTCGTCGTTTACATTGAGGTGCTGTGGTGCAGCATCGTCCTGGTGGTTGCCGTATGTGTGGCATAGAGCCATTTAGATCGTGGAGTGGGCGCTGGCCGTTTCTTGGCGTGTTTTTGCTGGAGGTCCACTGTGGCGGAGTGCGGCGTGAGGGGATCTTCTCATGTTCGGTTGCAGCAGTGGTGCTACGGTGTGTTGTACATTGGGCTTGGGTGCAAGTTGCCGAGGATGATTGTGTTTGTTTTGTTCTAGGCAGTTTGACGCTTGAGCGGTGGCTAGTATCGATAGCGACATCGACGAGGAATCTTTCATGTGGAAGCCACTAACATCATCAACGACCTCTTGTTTTTCCTTGGTTTTCCTTTAGCATTACAAACGCTCCGGCTGTGAGGGGCATTTTTTCCATTTTGGTGTGCACGGGTTGGCGCTGCGGTGCAGCAACAAGTTGCGTAAATATCTCCTCGCTGTTGTGCAGCAAACTATTGTGTCTTCCTTGTCAGATTTCGGAAGGTCCGCATTTTTGAGGGCTGACTTGGAGGTGTTGCTTTCGTGGGCAGCGTCGACATGTGCGTGGACCAGAATTCTTTAGTGGTGTTCTTCTTTTCTCTCGTATGTGGTAGCGGTGCTACCATGGACCAGTCAAAAACCAGTCAAAAATCTGGTAGCGGTGCTACCAAGGACCAAGGAAAAATTTATGGCATTAAATTGTTGAGTGAATTATTATTGTATGGATAAGCTTACTGCACATTCATGCCGGTTTAGGGTTGCTGTTCAGCTGCAGCAGCGAGCACTTGTGTTCTGAAAGTAGCGGGGAGAGATCATTATCTGGGGGTTTAGGAGGGGTCGTGTTCCTGGGATCGGGCTCTCATCGTCGGTTGCCTGTTGAATCGGGTCGTGGAGGAGAATGGGGGACGCTGATAAAGATTTGGACGAGCAGATACGAGAAGTGGAAAAGCAGATACGAAGCGTGGGAGAGGAGATACGAATAGTGAAACAGGAGATTGAAAGAGTGCAAGAGCGTATCGAAACGTGCTCTAACCTTCAAGAGAAAGCGCAACTTCGGGACGAGAAAGCTCAACTTCGGGACAATGAAGCGCAACTTCGGCGCGAGAAAGGGCAACTTCGGGACAAGGAAGCGCAACTCCGGGAGCAAATCCAACAAGGACGAGGTCACTCCTATTACTCATCATCATCACGTCCATCTCCTCATCATCTTTGTCCTTCAATGCTCCCAGGGGCTGCTGGATTCTTGGGCGAGGATTAATGTCATGGTCATGAAATTAGGGCTGACATAGAATCGGATAGGTTACTTCTCTGGCCTCGATTGTTCCATGGCCGGTTCTCTGTTGCTAAACTAGGTGGTCTGGGTAATGTTTACTCTTTTATTATGGACCATTTGGAAGCGATCTGTCTCTAGAGTTGTCCTAGGACCTGTTGAGATCCTTTTGGGTTTGGTGCTGTGTGTGAAGGTGCATGTATGAGCAAGCAACGGGATAAGTTATATAGTTATGTTTGCCTGTGTATCAAGAAAAGTATCTGTTTTCCCAGTTTACCAAATGTATGCCTTCCTCGACCAACACAATAGCAATCATTGCAAGTATAGTACTTGGTGTGTATGGATTTTTTATTTTAATTACTGGATTGCATGTGCAGATAAATGCACAGAGTTTGAATGGCTACGTCAGGACATGCCGTCGTGGGACTCAGGGAGTTGTTCCAAGACACCAAGCACCACGCAGAAGGAGCGGATGTACACGCCGGTAAGAGTAGAGTATTGGAATGTGGTGAAAGACATTGAAGAATATCTTAACAAGGCAGATAAGTTGAAGCGTATATATCAGAAAGTGGATAACCTTACAGTCACTAGAGGAAAGCGAAATTTGGAAGACGTCGCCGGTTCTGTTGTGGCCAGCACCTGCGATTTTGTTAGTAAGAAGCTACCAGGTTCCTTGGTAATATACGTCCGGGAAGCCAGCCTTGAAGTGCCACCTGAACCCGTAGCAGAGGGAGGAAACTCGAAGAACCCAGACGGATCGAAGGCTGAGGACAGAGAGGTTCAAAAATGTCTCTTTTATTCCAAACCTCCTCGTGTGGATATGTTAGTTCAATCCAACGGCAAGGACGTTGCTGTTTTTGAGCTCAAGAATGGAGGTCTCGGATGTCCCGTGCCTATCTACAAACTGTGGGCAAGATGCTCATGCCGGACAGGTTCAGTATGGCCAGATCTCATTTGATTTTCGGTTAATTCCCGTCTCCACGATTTGTCAAGAGTTTTCAGTTGTCAAGCCTGCTGATATGGAGGCTACATTTTTTCAGGGATCGACCTCAACTGCTGGTGCAATTCTGACATCTCGGAAGGACATGCCAGGAGTATTCTTAATTGCATCCTTCAGGTGTATGAACACTTGGTTTTGTAAGCTGTTCATTAACCCTTGTCTACCTCGGGGCTATTCGGGTGGGGCTAGCTCAACTTAGAGCTCAGCGTTGCAAGGTCTGCCACTGCCTTTGTCATAATATTCCTGTAATAGGGTAGTCCTTTTTTACAAAGCTTCGTGTTACCTGGGCAGCTTTTTGGTGGTGCTTGGACCTGGTTTTATTCTTCTCGCAGGTTTAGCTAGTCTTTGCTTTTGTCCACACTCCTTTGTTGTTCCATCATTCTTTTGTGTAATTTTTAGCGCGTCCCATGGTTTACGTTCAGGGATCAAAAGGCCCCGTGAGGAACCTCATTTTTTCCTCCACTTTTGGCTGCCGGTGGATTTTCTGCTTTTTAGTACTGAAGTTGTTAGGACTTCTCGCAAGATATTAAGAAAGCAGATGTTCCTGAGGTTCGAAGTGCTCAGTTATTTCAAATCCTGGTACTCACAGGGATGTCTCTTAAATTGGATTGGCCCTCAAATGAGAAGCTGATGAATACAGTGTGAGTTGGTCCTCATTCTACCTTCTTTCTCGTTGAGTTGCAGGGCTGAAGTTGGGTATGGCGTTCTCACCGATATCCAGAACTGGTATCTCTTCAAAAGAGATCACACCTGCTGCCTCTACATCTCAGTGGGTTTCAAGTGGGATGATCGGCAACCGCCTTTACCTGCTGCAATTGCTTATTTGGTCAATTCTGCTGTTGACACCCGTGGTGAGTTTGATGTTTCACCCAGGAAAGGTGAGCGTCCCTGGAGCTGGGAGGCTACCCCTTGCACCAGTCCCAGTGGCGGCTCTGACGATGATGAAGATGAGGACAATACCTACAAACCGAATGAGCACAAAATCGGTGATTGCGAAACGTCTCCAGCTAGGTAACCTGTCTAGCCAGCTACCCAAGCATTGGCATATTTCTTGTGGATACATAGAAGAGAACAAACGGTGGAATGATGGCAAATGCATGTACAGGACTCGAGGGGCATGCTCAAATATGAGGCAAAAGCAATTGCAGGAGATTCCTGCATCAGACCTACATCTGGACGACCGCCCCATCACCAGTGTGGGATGGAGCGGCTGCGTGGTTGGCGGCATTTTGAATGGTCGCCGCGTTGCAGTGAAGTTCGCTCCCCGCAAATCCGAACGTGCAGAGGTGAGCTGGAGTCGTGTCGTGGAAATCTTGCGTGCCCATCTAAATGTTCACTATAACTTGATCTAAATTGGGGCTTACTTGGAGTGGTCCTGTCAGCGATTGCTTTTGTAGCAGGCAGTCTTTGTTAGTTGCAACGTGGAGCATTTTTGTGTTGAAATGCATGTGCAGTTTGCGACACCTTACCGGCTTGTGATCTTGTTTTGTATATGCCGTCTTCTGGCCGTGCTTGTACAGGCTCTCCTGAATGAGGTGGACGCCTACCTAAAGCTAAAGGAGCATTGGATGGTTTTTGTGCCCCCATTAGTAGGATATGGAACCACAGCCGATGGCCGGATTGTTTTCATAGCAACAGAGTTGATCGACGGCAGTCCACTCGGACCTGGTAAGTAATAAGCTCTTGAAACCAGCAAAAGGGGATTGTGGTTGTCTTCCTCCTTTCCCGAGGGCTGCTTACAGCTTAACTATGGTACCGGAACAGTATCTCTGGCGCTCTACGATCACCAGGCAGAGGAGGCATTTGTTTACTTTTCAATGCATTGTTATTGGTTCACAGGAACAGTGACCGAGGAAGTGGCCACTGCGGCACTTCAGGCGCTTGGTGCAGTCCATGCGTGTGGACTGCTTCATGGGGATGTCGAGGCACGGAATATTATGGTTGTGCGGGGTGGACAGCCTTCTGTCCGCCTTGTTGATTTCGGCTTTGCGCAGTGCAGTGGCAGTAGGGACTCGCAGAAGGCAGAGCTCAGGAAGTTGCAGCGCCTCTTGCAAGACATGATGGGAGTTGGGGTGGGGAAAGAGTCTGGTGGAAGATGTCCTCACAAGCAGCTTTGTTTAGTATAGTGTAACCACCTTTTCAAGCGACTCCGGTGAGGGAGACTCCGGAATGCCAACCTGTTCGGCGTGTAGAGGGCAAATGGTGGTGTTTACCGTGCCCACATTTTATCTAACAGATTGTGATGGGCAGAATGAGAAGAGTAGAACATACATTTGTTCATTAGACCATGGGAAGACTCCCTCTATGTCTACAACACGTTGCATTCACTCCCACACGACGAGACAGGTATTGGAACTTTTGATGACATGTGCGCTGCATGAAGGCAGCTGTCGTAATGTACGGCGAAAACTTGCCACTCAAGGCAAGTGCTGCTACGCGATAATTTGCCAAATATAAGCTACTGCACAAAGTTGGTGCGTCTAGGATTCAAATAAGGATTTCTTTCATTTTTTTAAACTTGATGCAGTTTTGCAGAACTCAAAAGTTTTCGTGGGTCTGAATCCAGAGCTTGATATTGTGTGGCTATTGATTTACAGTGTATTTTCTTATCTACTGTGCCATGGAATGTATTGTCAACATGTCTCCAACTTGCGATTTCTGCATTGAGAGTTTTGAGAGATTTGAATGTTGTGCTAGCAAATTGGTATAGGTGCTCTCTCCATGAGATTTTTGGGAGTTGGAAACTTCGACTTGCAAGTTAGTCCTCCCTTCTTCCATTATGTTGATAGATGTACTATGTGTGATCATTTGTTTTGATGGAGTGACTGGTTTTGGTGTAGTAGAATTTTGCTTTCAGTATAGGGTTTGCTAGGGTTTTTCTATGTCTTCTTCGGCAGGAATTGTGGCTAAATGTAGATGAATGAAGGACTACATCATCTTGAATCATCTTGAAAGTTGGTGTTGATTAATTTCATGTAGATTTGGAGCTGCTTTATACAAGGAGTCGAGGCCAATTCATGGCTAAAATCCACTCCTTCCATTGGTTGAGAAGTTGGAGCTTTCCTCAAGCCCTTCATGCTATGAGTCAAGGCCATTCTCTGAAACTTAAAATGAAGTAAAGACCAATGTTGGGAGGATGTGGTCAATGATACCCACGGGTTAGGGTATTGACCAATACTCACCTTTGTTGTAAAGGGTAAGTATAATTCCTTTGGCAAGTAAAGGATATTTTATATCCTTATTTTATTTTTAATAAAAGATGGAATAAAGATATTAGAGAGAAACATGTGCATATTGGTGGATAAGGATAGGATTTGATATGGATTTCTTTTAGATTGATTTAAAAAATATTACAATTGTTCAAAGTGTAATTTGGAAGAAAAATCTATAATAATCAATCATACTATTTTAAACAAAATTTTAACAAAATCTATGTATGATTGTGAAATTTATATTTAATCATATAACATTATTTAAATATAACAATGTTTATATTTGTATTAATAAATGTAAGTATTGATGAAGTAGAGGTTTTTATCTCTAAAGCCTTAACAACATCATTTCTATCCATTTTCACAAAGTATTCATTTTTAACAAATTCCACATTACAACCATGTGAAATTAGTTAACTATCTAAAATGAGGGTTTTTTTTTTACATAGAAGACTTCCTTCAATTTAATTCTCTTGGTTTGGTTTTTTAAAACAATCCCTACCCTAATAGAGTCCATTTCAATAGCTTGGACCATGCCATTGTCTCCCATAACAATATTTGTTGTCAAAATCTCTTTATAAGTGTCAAATGAATACTTGTATGGAGTCATAAGCTTGGTAGCACCTAAATTAATGATCTATTTGAACATGGCAATTATGGAGGTGCTTTCACTTGCCATGAATGTATAATCATGTCCTTTAAATTGTTCACTTATATTGTTGATACTTTTTCTATTTTTTTCTTGGCCTTTGAAAAAATTTTGAGCAACATAACCTGTTTTTTCACATATGAAGCAAGTTTTTATATTACCACGTTGGTTAAAATAACTCTTCTTGCCTTGTCTTGAAAGGAGAGCATGACCTTTCCTTTAAGGCTCTTGTTCTACTTTCTTGGTCACTTCAAGACTAAGTCTTGCTATTACATAATCCATCGTGAGTTCCTTTAGCTTGATGGACTTAAATGCCATAATGAAGTAGTTATAGAATTTGGAAAGGTTCATAAATAAGATCATAACAATATCACCATCTTCTAAAGAATTGTCAATAATTGCTAGTTGGTTTGCAAGAGCCTTTATCTTATTGACGTCAGTCATGAAGTCTTCACCTTCTTCCATCTTGCAAGTGAAGAATTTCTTCTTTTTGAAGATGTTGGAGAAGTTCTTCCTTTCATATATGTTACATAGAGTCTTCTATGCTTTTGCTAGTCCTTTACAAGAAATAATGTGAGAAAAATTGGCTTCATTCAAATTTGTGGCAATCATACCAAAAGCCTTTTTTTTACATCTTTTGAAGTCCTCCCATTCCTAAGCATTTGCATTTAGGCTTGGAGGTTCTTTACTTTCATCTACAATGACTAAGAGGTCCAAAAACACCAAACAAAAGCTATATTTTTATCTTCCAATAGAAGAAATTGTTGCCTCTAAACTTTTCAAATACTCTCAAATCTTCACCTTCAATAGAAGCCAGTTCTAAAGAAAGCTCCATCAAAAATTATTAAAAGAAGGAGTCTCTAGGTGCTTAAAAACATCAAAATAATTTTGCACTAGCAGAATCTTATAATGTCCTTTTATGAACAATTAAGTACTTTTTCACTCAAAGCACTCTCAATTCAACTTTTGAAGCTTCTAATAAGTATGTGTACTCCAATCAACCTTACTATCAAGTTCTTTTATTCTTGCAAATCACTATTTCATAATACATATAAGGTTAGTGAAATAACTTCAATAACACAAAAGATATTATCAAGGTCTTCTTATAAGGTCTTAAATTCACAATCTTAGGAGGTAAGAACCAATAAACCAATTTTAGAAATCTATAAGGTCTAGAACAACACTTCTACATAACAATACAGAAGTTTAGATCTTACAAATGTTAAAATAAGTAAAAATAAAAGTAGAATAAGTTAGAATATAGAAGATATTGCCTTATATAAGTTGCTATTGGTCAAAGAAATGGCTCTTGGAATATGAAAGAGCCATGCATTAGATAAGCTAAGAAGTCAAGAGTCAAGATACAAATTCAAGAAGATAAAAGATCTACTAGAACATATTCAAAGCATAGATAAGAACATGTAATATATACCAAAGGATATCCTCATGATAAGTGAGATCCTAAAGAATATATTAGATATATTTTTTTGATGAATGTAAAAATAAAAGAATGTATTTTGTCTCTTAAAGCATGAACCACCACCTATAAATAAAGATTATTGAAAGTAACAGTCATCTTATTCCACACTCTCTTTGTATACAACCTTTTTGATGTTATGTATTGGAATTTCTAATGTATGTTTCTTCAATAAGTTATGAGTCCAATGTGAGTAGAATTAATAGCTCTAATAGTTAGTTATAATCACTTTTATTATTTTTAATATATTTTTATTAATTTTATTGCTAATATGATTAACGTATAGATCCAAATTAGCTTTTTTAATTAATTATGATTTTATTTATATTTCTAGGTTTTTAATTAGATAGATACTTTTAAATATTAGATTGAGTGATTATTAAAAATTCTAAAAATAGTAAATCCAAAAGATCTATGATTTTTTTTCTTCATCTTGTTTAAATTCTTTTTTAGTAGTCTTAGAAATTATATCTTGAATTAATCCACAATCTTAGTTTTCAATCCTAAGGCTAATTCTTAATTTAATTATGGTTAGAAAATTCCTTAAGTCTAATTGTTCTATCTTCCTATTTAATTTTTAAGATTTTTATAAGCTTGAATTTCATGTCACAATTTAAATGGATTAATAATATAAAGTCTTATTGTTAAATTAAAGATTATTTTTAGAAGATGGAAGTGAGGTAATTGTTGTGGTGGTATTTCCTCTCGCAATGATTTTAATTACTATTTGGAGTTGAAAATTGAAGGAAAAAAAAATCATAAGTATATTAATTCATGACCAAATTATAATTGGATCTTAGATTTGCTAAGAGTTTGTATTTAAGAGAGTTTCAATTGAAGAATGGTGATCAGAATAGCTTTGAGGGCAAGAATCCTTGCTGATTTCCAAGTAGACTGAATAAAATTAGAATCGTAGTTGAAACTTACAACTAAATTAGCAAATTAATTGATTTTTATGATTTAGAACTCGGATTTGGACTTGTGAATAGTCAACTTTAGGATAAAAATGTGATTTAGAAACATTGATGGTGTTAATTTTGTGAAAAAGGTCTTAGTTTTTGAGTTATAGGCATTTCTAGCCTTACAATCGAATTTATACTTAGAGTGATTATGGACCCTTGAACTTGGTTAGGGATTTTTTGATTTGGATGGTGGAAATGTGGCCGCCACCTTTGAGCCTCCTGCCACTTGGTTAAGAGGGCTTGAATGGCTGAGCTTCTTCTCTTTCTTTTCCCTTTTTGTAAGGCGAAGCCCTACCAAATTATTTCTAGGCTTTTAATTGAAGGAATTTTCTCCTACCTTGTTGTTTCTTTGGTATTTTTTTCCTTTAGTCACTAAATTTTTTGAAAAATATTTGGTACTCATTTTTTTCTAGTTACCAACTTTTCAACGACATAAGCCACGAGCAATTTGAAGCTTAGACGGATTTTTGGCAAATTTCCAAGTTACAAGGGGTCTATTGCCCTTAGCAACATAAGAGCATCAACTTCAAAAATTTGTAACTTGATAAAATCTAATTCAACTTTAATGTGACTTACTATTATGAATGCGATTTGAAGTCTAGTTTATTAAAAATTTTGAATCTATAACTTCCAAGTTATAATGAATTTTTGATGATTTTTAAAATAAGGACGGATCTACTGCCTTGATAGTTTAGAACAATTAGTTTTAGAAAAACGTAGCTTAATGTCTACTTATGTTTTGTCATTGAATATTTTTTTTTAAAAAATCTTGCTAAGTTTATTTTTAGAAAAATTAGAGTTTTTAACTTTAAATCATTAACCAACTCTTTAGTGAATTTTTAAATAGAAGAGATCTGTTATTAAAGTAGCCCAAGTGGATTTACTTGGAAAAAACCACATTTCAAGCATTTGAGGTCGGATTGCTACAAGATTTAGAAATATAGGAGCATGATAGTGTTAACCTTGATCACACCAAATTTCACATATATTAAAGTGTCAAGGATGTTTTGGTAAATTTTTGAGTGATAAAGTCTAAAAACCTTGTGTGGCCTTCAAATCTTTCTCAATTTCTTCATAAGCTTAAGGCCACAAGGATTCTCTAAGACATCCTTATACACTACATGTGAGGCTTGTTAAGGTTCAAATCCTTAATCTGTGAGCAATTTATTCTTAATATAAAATATTTTTACTTAATTTTTTAATTATTTTTATTTTTATTTTTTTTATCTTTATAACTTATTCATAGTAACTTGGATTTATATTTTTCTTATATCATTGAAAAGACAATTAAATTAAATTTCCATAAGTATCACTTTTATTTATTTTTTATTTTTACTTGTTATTTGATAAAAATCCAATGAACAGACTATGACTAAGTGTTGAAGTGTGTATTTGCTTGAATATATTTCTTGCACTTGTTTTATGTTTGTACCTTTTTTGTTCTTATTATTTTCTTATCTCATTTCATACTACTAACTACAAGCAACTCTTAATTAAGGCTATCTTATATTTTGGATTGAGGGATAAAATTTAACTTCATGTTTTGGTGCATTTGCTTAGAGGTGGTGCTTTTGATTGTGTGTCTGAATGCAAAGTTAATTAATTATAATTGATCTTTTATATGGAATTTTTAAGTGAGCTCTTTAAATCTATTTTTTTTATCATTGATAATTCTTTTGCCTCTTTTCATTATTCTTGCAAAAAAATCTCTTTTATATTTATAATCAAAACATATATTTTTTTAAAAAAATTCTATTGTTAAATAGAAAGGAAATTATTCTTAGATTTTCATCAATAAATTTTTATTTAATTTTTTATTTTACTTTGAAACTTTTTCAAGTTTTATATCTTGATGTTAGTTTTTTAAAAAGCCATCATAAGTTTGAATTGGACTAAAATTGAATTTTAAGTGAATTTGTGATTAGAAGAGAATTCAATACCTTAGTAATTTTGTGTACTTTATATTTAAAAAGGTACTTTTTAGTG